AAAATACTTCTCTTACAAATCTAAAATATTATATTAATATATTTCGAAACATTTCAATTTTTTTATTGTTTTTTTTTTTTCTTATTCAAGGTCATTGGGTGGGTGGGGGCGATGCCCTAGCGCCCTCTATTGGCCAGCCGCGCCGGGTGGAAACAACAAATACTGCAGAATCAGAGAATAGAAGAAGAAAGAAGCATAATGATGAAAAGTGTTCCCTATGTCCTCCAGCAGCCTAAGCCTATGAAAGCATTAATATAGAAACAGCTCAGGAAACGTTTTAAATAACATTATTTCGTGAAACAGGGATAAGGGAAAAAATTGGATAATTAAAAAAAGAACCAAACTACAGTGACACAAACAGCATTCACTAGATATAGCAGCTAGGTGGTGCTAATATAATTCACCCTGTTATGTTTTTCAGTGAGTAGTGCCAGATTTTTAAGCAATTTGAACTCTTATTTTTTCCTCTATTATTTTAGAGCAATACTGGGATTATTTACTCCTAAATTAAAATCTTTCTGTTCTGTGGAAATTCACAACAAAAGATAAGACTGAGCAATGCTTGAAGCTGTAAATAAACCTACAACTCAAACTGCAAAGGGCTCAATTATAGCAGAGGGTTAAAGTTTATCATAGCATGATGATTAAGCTCTTCTTCTCTGCAGATGAACTTTCAAATGTTTGTTCTTTTCATATTAATTAGTCCTCTGTAAAGATTTTATTACTTCTGTCTACTTTTTTTTGCCACCGTCACAAACGCATTTCCCCGCTGTGGGACAATTAAGGAAGTTCTTATCTTATCTTAAAAAGACCGTAGTGTGATCTTTGGAACAGTAGTTCTGAGGAAATCCCATTTGCTCTAAAAGCAAAATAGAATAGCAGATTTGTGAATTGTAAATGATTGATTAGAACAGGTTTTGCCATAACATGTAGCACCTTAGTTGGCAATAACAAGATATAACATGTCAACACAACTTATTATTCGTCTGATGGCACATTAGGTGTGAAAAACTGTGCTTCGCATGCAGCTACATGACCAAAGAAGCCTGCAGCCATTAAATTAACCCTAAAGCTATAGTGGAGGATGGCCTTTTTCTGGGTGGATTATCCAAATAAGTGGGCGATTGATTTATTGACTTTATTTATCTCAAGGTGGAGAAATTTAGTTGCTACATCAGCTTAAATAGTCAAAGAAGAAGATGGTACCAAAGGAAGAAAAAGGTGTGTGGGATATAAACAATATCTCCAGTGCGTCCACATATAACAGCTTTTTCCTTTTTTCTTTTTTTTGATCATTATACAGGGTTATTGAACCGGGTGTTTACATGTGTATTTATATAGATAGATGAGTGGTCCTCCTAATTGTCAATCATTCTGGTGATATGCTTCTGTAAGGCCGTCCTACGTGCTCGTCCCCATTTTCATTTACCGGTGGTGAGTCTGACATAGAGAAACATTGCAAATCTTCTTTTGGAAAGTAGGCTTGTATGAGTGATGCAAACAGCAGTTTTTAAACAGCGCGTGCACAAGGAGAAATGGGCTTATGCGTGCTTTTGCATGGGTTTAATAGGCGTTCCCTCTCGGGAGCGGGTACAGGGTTGTGCATGTGTATAAGTGGAGAGGGCGGGTCCTTCTTAAGATTTGCGAAAATCTTACACTATATCTTTAAGCTCTTTTGTCCAATCTGCTAATCTGGTGCAATCAGAATGCCAAATTTTGAATGAATAAGGACAGAATTTTTTTTCTGAAATGCAATTAGGTATTTTCATGGAAGTGCTTATAGTTTACGCAACACAAAAGGATGTCCATTGACTTGACATGTAAATAGGAACCATAAAATGTTTTAGACCTTCACATGAGCTTTTTCTATTATCCCTGTCACTTCATATAGCACTAAAAGTATGGTGCCTAAAGCAGTTAGCGATACAGAAGCAGAGATATTCTATCTCTGCTTTTGTCTCCTTGAACCCCAGTCAGCCTCGGCAGATGGCCGCTCACACTGAGCCTGGTTCTGCTGGAGGTTTCTTTCTGTTAAAAGGGAGTTTTTCCTCTCCACTGTCGCTACAAGCATGCTTAGCGTGAGGGTTTGCATTCAAGTCAATGAGTCGATGCAATCAACTGATTTTCGTTAGATAGAAAATTATGAATTAGTTTGACTGAATGATCTGGTTGAATTGTAAAGTGCCTTGAGATGACATGTGTTGTGAATATACTATAGAAATTAACTGAATTGAATTTAATTAGAAAATGTTACTAGCAATTTTGTTTTGATTTTGTGTGTTTTTCTGTCAGTGGAACATAAACCTCTCTTGAAAATATATGTTTACATAGGATTCACAGAAATTAAATGGAATTGGTTTTTAAAATTATTATTGTAACAGATTTTTATGTGAAGAAAAAATAAGATACACGCACATCTGAACTATTTATTTATGGTGTCCCTCAAGGTTTTATGTTTGCTCCCATCTAATTCTCTCTATTTAAAAATTATCAATCCATCTATCTGGGTAGATGGATGGAGATGTAAAAATGAGTTGGGACAGGGCTGAACTGTAAACACGTTATACTTCTCTGTCAATTAGTCATGTATTAACCTGCAATCTCCCTAAATCATGCTGAGGAGATTTCCCAAGAACCTTAAAGCAGTCTCTGTTGAAACTCAACAAACTAAAGTCAACATTAACTCCCTCTCATAAGACTCTTTAAAGTCTGACTTTGTTCAAATAGGGAATGAACAAGTTGGATTGATGCTACTGTTTAGGTTTTGATTATTTCAGTGCATTAGTTTTGTGTCTTTTCTGTGGAAATGCTTGTGCTAACAGTTTTCAGTGAGTCTATAGAGAGAGAGTGGGGTTCCCCTTCCTGATCAGTTTTCTGCTGTCAATACAATGAAAGGATGTATAAGTCACCCCTCAAGGGGCTCCCCACAGCACACAACCACAACACCCCTTTTGCTTTCCCCTTCTCACTTTTCTGTTTCAGCTCACCTCCTGGTTTTCCCATCACTGCATCCTGAGGGAGGCCAGTTTCTTCTGAAATCCTCACAGATTAATGTGTGCAATTAAACAACATTCAATATCATGTTTCATTGAGTTGTATACAGGTAGTGTCTGTTAAAGGTGTAGGTATCCAGACTGTTATAGGTCATTTTAGTTGTTTATTTTTGTTAGCTAGAACGTAATCTGTTTCAAAAGTGAATCCTGCTAACAGACAAGTCATGTTTTTTTTTTCTTCTTTTCAGTGTTTCAAGAAAGTGCCTGAATGAAACAAGATGTCTTCCTTGGAAGTTGCAGAGTATCCCCCACAGCTTTCTTTTTTTCCCCAGCTCTTTAGCAGAATATTCCTCTGTTAAGTAATATCCTCTATCTCTAGGTTTCCATGAATAGCTAATAAAAAAAACCATACGTTTGTAACGTCTAAATGTTTTATTTCTTAAAATCTGCCTCAGATATTTTTGTGGGCACTTATGTTAATTAAACAAAATAAAATAAATATTAAAAACAAAAAGTATTTGAAGAAATATTTGCTTGGATTAAATGGTTAAATATGTTTTTAGTAAAATGATTTTTAAGGAAAACATTTGTTATAAATTCTATGTGTTTCTTTACAGTTTTACACATCTAGTAAAGTCTTTGGAGCAATGTTTGTAATTTTTACAAAATAGAAACTTTGGAAACATGTTTGGAGCTTGATGCTCCAGACTGTTTTTAGATTCCATTGGGGCTGAACTGGCAAAACATAGAAAAATATCAGCAATTCATAATGTTAACAATGTAACTTTACTTCAATCTCTCATATATATACTCATCTAATATTTGAATGTGAAAAACTGATTATCTAAGAATTAAATAAATACTAACAAAAAGAATTAGGACAATCAGTTTAAGCTAGAATGAATTTCTCAGTTCCTCTGGTTATAAAACTTTGCAGTTGGTACATCCCCTGACAACATAAGTCCTCATGTTTGGAAGTTTCTTGATTTTCAGTCCTAAGCTGATTATTTTTCAAATAAATTATATTTGCAATTTTAAATAATATGCTGTAAGTGCTGTTTTCAAACAATTCTAGCATTTTCTGGTTAGGGGAAAACTTCTAGATATATGTAGAAAAGCAGTTAATTAAGAAATTAACTTAGAATTTAAACAAAACTAAATTCATGGTATGTAATAATTGCAAAAGAAAAGGTTTGGTTATGCAAACACTAAAGTTGTGCGGGAAAACAAGTTACTTGGTGCAAATATAAGGGAAATATAAAAAGCAATAGCAACTTGTCCAAGGCTTATTTTACAGAAATATTACAATTTTCATCTGGTGCTGATGCACTCTCTTTGTCTAACTTTTTTGCCATAACAAAAATACGCTATTAACATGACATTGTTTGAATTACAACATTTCCCACAGTTGCAAATACAGATTTTAAAATAAATAAGAACAAAGTTTGATTTAATGAGTTCCGGATGTACTGAGTTCATATGTTTGAATATCAAGCCTTAAACTTTAACTGAATATTGGAGGTTAATTTGCTCTAAGAAACAACATTCTTATGATAAAATTACAAAAATACCTGCATGATTTCAATATTTTTAAACAGAAAGCAGAATAGTGACCACAGCAGCACAGACAACACAGAGCAGTCAGGAAATCTGCCGGAACCTTCCGCTGCCCTTTGAGTTGCGTCACGTGACGGTAAACGTCACGGACTCCGGCTGCCTGTAGACCCGTCCGGTATCCTGGCAACGCAAAACATCTTTGACCAATCAGACGCTGCGTTTGGCGCATTGGTACATTAGAACTCAACAACTCAAACATCAGATGTGAGCTTTAGAGGATACCTGTTTGGATTACTAGGTAAATATATTAATTATACTAATTATACAACTGTGTGCGGTTCATAGCTGTGTTTGTAGTTAGCAGTTGGCGTCTACGTAGCAAAAGGAGCTGCGTCAGAGAGCGGCGCATTTATTTCAGCAGGCAGTAGTTCGGCTTTATAAAACAGGCGTGTCAGGAGCGGAGGTTGTGGTTTAAACGCTGGCTTTCACCGTGGGGTTATTATGTGGAGCCGTGTGCACGAAGTCATCATCTCTTTCGGATTTTGAATGCTTCCAGTGCTCTCCTTTGGTAACGTATGTACTGCTAATCTTTTTAAATACTTTATTCCTGCGTAAGTGCGAACCACCCTCACTCAAAGTCGTGTACGTAATTTTTTGTCATTTTATTAAAACTCTCTATCCGACTGCGTAATTCTAAAACGTGACACAAGTTGGATATCGATTAAGGAGTTTTATCCTGTTTTGCTCGAAACTTTTTAAACTTGCTCAACAGCTTGAAACTCTTCGCCATATGGATGGGATCACCAGCAAACGTGACTTTACTGCTAACTTCAAAGCTCTGAAAGTTATCGGACTTTTTGGCGTTTGCACTTTTGAGTTGACTTTATTAAAAACCGTCACCAGTGGCGTTGTTAAACGTATCAAATGTCTTCGCTGGACGCGTTAGAGTGATTCTAAGCGGTGTTCAGCTGGTGGTTTGATGCTGTTTGTCAGTGGAATGAAAGCCAGGCGCGCGCGTGGAGCTGTTCTAGAAGGCTCACGGCTCGCTGAGAGCACGAGCTGCTCGCCTCGCGCGCACATTCTAACCCGCTCGTGCTGACTGACCTCGCCTCGGTTTGGTGTTTTGTTTTAAAACTTCCGAGCAGCTTTTTCTGGTGAGATTAGTGATAACAGCGCTGACTGCTGCCAAGCATGACATGTTTTCTAAAACATACCAACCTTTTAATCCTTTAGAGGGCACTCAGTTACGGAGGACCAACTCTGCCACATTTAAAAATAAATAAATGCTCAATAAATAGATAAGCATATCATTAATTGCCCCTAAAGATATAATCAACAAATACATGTAGGTAGAAATAAAATTATACGGTGAGATAAAAATGTATGAATCTCTTTTAATTAGCTTCTTTATTTATTTGCCTTTGTTATAATTACCTCATTTATTTATTGTATGTTATATTCTTCAACTTAATTTATTACTTTTAAGTATTTGTGTGCATCATATAATATCTTTGTCTAGTTTATTCTTCCTTTGTATTTTTTTTACCCTATATTCCATGTTATTTATTTCTGGCAGTCGTTTTTTACATTTCTGTCTGCATTTCTGACTCATTATGCAAAGGAGGAGGGGGTGTTTATTTTTTTTTAATAATATGGCAGAGCTGGTGCTCCATACTCATTGAAATACTTTCACAAATTTCAAGCCAATACTGTTATTGGGATCCAGGAGACCTTATTACCTTTGTAACATTAAAAAGATATGGATATTTTAATGGCAAAAATGAATGTCAATGTAATAACAAACGCCAACTTGCACAAATATGTTAAGAAAATTAAAAGGGCCTCTATAAGAAAGTCCTGAAAAACACTGAGAGTGAAAGAAACACATTTTTATTTGGTACAACATAATCTTAGAGGCATTAATGCTGATACTGGCACTTAAATTTTTAGTTTACAAACCTAAATATAATTGCTAACTAGGACTATTTTTTTAAATTTTAATTAGTTTTTTTTTACCTTTTTTTTCTTGACTTAACTTTTTTTCCCCAACTTAATTTACTGTAGTTAATATATCATTTAAGGGCTCATCTAATTGGTTAAAGGACAAAATAAGATGAACAGTCATGTAGCATTATGTTTGCTATATGGCTGGATATAGATCTTGTGCTTCTAGATCTCACTGAGGGACAGGAGGGGGGCCTCCATTTGTAAAGGGGATCAAAAACCCTAACTTGCTCTATAAAGGGTTTTAAACTCTGTTTCAGGATTGTATCTAAATATGGAAAAACAGAACTGTAAACTTCAAGGCTCAAACTTCAGAAAACTGATGTGTCATGTTCCAGAAGTGTTCTTGTTTTAACGTAATGCCAACCATCTGTCAAGATAACAATGAATCATGCGTTAGACAGCAGTTCATAGCGAATGAACCAAACAATAAACTTTGCTGTTGGATGTAATCAAACAGTTGCTGCCACAATAAAACAAACCACTCACATCCAACAAGAACAGCCCGAGATCCAAAAATAAACAAAAAGGGAGACCAGCCCGAAATCATTCATCATATGATTTATATAATGTGTATTTCACTGAGAATTTGTCGCTTTATTTTCAGTTTTTAATGTATAAATTATGTCTTGGAATACATTTGCACTGATTTGCTAAAGCGGCATTCATTTTGATGCTCATTATGTTTCTGGTAGTATTTTAATCCTTTAGATTATCAATAAAAATCCTAATCAGGAGTTAAGGCTTCAAAGGAAATCCATAAGAGCATCAAGCAAAAGTCAACTGATTGGTTGTTGAGGTACAATTGATGCTGACTGTCAACAAACAAAGCAGAGGCTTACCCTGAAATCCCACATACTCCGTCTGCGCTCCGCTCCGCTCCGCCCCGCTGCGTTCCAGACCGCCTGCGCAAAGCAAAGCCTACAGCC